GTTAGAAATCCAATTTCTGACTTTTATTGTTTCTTGCTATTGTGGAGTGTCTGTGTCTGTGCGGTTGTTGCTGCTCAAGAGTAACATTTGTGAAAGAACAAATGCAGATCGATGTTCCTCAGTTTTTTTCTCAAACTGAAGTGCTGAGACAAGCAAAACATGTTTCCATTACTTAACTAAGCAAACAATGGCATATAAATCACAGAGGCAGCTGGACCAAGGTGTCGTTTTCATAAAGAGCCAGATTTCTCATGAAGGACAGTTTAATGGGCTGCTGCCAATGAAATGTCTGCAGAGCTGGTAATTGCAAGAGGGCATGCAAAAAGTGGCGCTAGAAAGGTGTCGTGTGGGAGCTGAGAAATAGCTCCGCAGCCAAGACAACTGGAAAAAGGAGACTGAAAAAGGTGTGTGCTTTCATAATTTGCTTCTTGAGGCTGATTGTTTTAAATAAAATTCTAAGTTTTTATTTTTAGCCTGTTCACATTGGCTGCAAGATCAGAGAAGTGTTTTTAGCTGTAATTTTATTTTGATCATGTTTATGCTGTGGCTTTGTTTCTCCTTTGATCATGCTTAAACATGTTTCAGACATGTTTGTTTGATGTATGCTGTTTTTAAAACACTCTTCCACATTGTCTGCTTTTGTTTTTTTAAAACAACGAAACGTTGCAAAATATTTGCTGTCAAATTATTTCTTAAATTCATTTTCCCAAAACACGCTTTCTGGACTTTGAGCTAATGGGAGCCTGCTTTTAGACAAGAAAGTGTTGAACTGCTTTAACAGCATTTCTGAGCACTTCAAGGATTGGAGACAGTTTTAGGATCGCAAAATACCCAGTAATTCATACACAGAAATCAGAAGTCATCCTATCTATCCACAATAGCTGCAGTGCACCAACTTTTACAATTGTCACCAGTGGGTTTGGATCAAAGTCCCACTTTCCGTTCAGTAAAACTTGCTTGAAGTTCATTCCGTCACTACTTCTGAGGCTGTGTTGGATGCATGAAATAGGTCAACCCTGAATGAATTACTTTAAACTTCCCATGGGGACCCTTTGATACCGAACCTGTTTAATTTTGCAGGGTAAGGCAGGGCAGGCTCAATACAACATACACATTCATGGATGACATTTTTTCTTCTGCTGCATGGGTGAGCAATTAGGAGAGTCAAGGAGAAGTCCCTCATCTGTGGACAACATCTCCCTTCCCTTCCTCATAGAAGAGCAATAAAAAAATGTGATGTAGTCCATGGAGAGGGCTATGTTGCGTGACTGCCGGCCATCTGGCTGATTGATTCATCATGAAGCTAAACAGTTACTTGTAAGCATGGTCTGAAGCCCTGGAGTTAAATGCAAGTGTGCATCAAGCCTCAGGCAAGTCAAACAGCTTCTCTGCTAATGAAACAATAAAGAACACACTACAGATCACTAGTTCACACCACCCACTTCTTAGTTTTATAACCTACAAAATTATCAACCACGTTTTCTCCCTCTCTCCACACGTATAACCAGGATGTTGCTTTTATGATCATTATATTCATTCTGAACAGAAATTAATCTGTTTCTATATGCAACAGAGCACAAGTAGCCTGTTCTTCCTTTATTTGGTTCATTGCATAGACATAGTTTTGTTGTGTGGAAGAGGAGAAAAAAAACCCACCATCAGGTAACAAGAGCAAGAGCCCTACAACATGAAGAACTACTCTTTTATTGACTAAAACATATCGACTTAACCAGATGGCGAAACAGCCTGGGGTTTGCTCAGTAAGAAACACCAGTGTTATTCAACAAAAACTGTTCCGTGATGTACAATGGATGTGTTCTAATATGAAGTTGTGTGACCGCTATATTTTCAGGAATGTAGGTTTGGGTTATTAATCACTAATTGAAAATCTGAATTCATCCCAGATGGGCACTGGTAAGAAATGTATACAAAGCATATTCACAAGTGCTCTGGTTACGGTGTTAGTTATATCTGCCTTCCTCACACCCCTCTCCTCTGCTACCACTCTGAAAGAATTGTTTGAAATAAATATTTTTGATTTATTAAACTATTTTTCTATCATTCTTGTATCAATTCTGCTTTAATAGTAGACTGTCTTACTGTTTCTAGGTTCTCTTGCAAAATTATGAGAGGGAAAGAAAAGAATAATAATATGCTAACCGAGGGCAAGTTTATATAACCTGTACTATATCAGCAATATTATTGACTCAAATGGAACTCCCACAGTATCTTCATAGGCCAATGTAAAGTTAGATTTTTGATGCCTGATAATACAGTGATTTATTTTAGAATTTGATATCTTGTGATTTACAAAACCCATTGCACTAGAAACAAATCATTCAGCCATTTGGGAATGTATTTAGGTTTTGATTGAATGATTTTTATTTTTTTTTACCCTTTTCATTAAGACCTCAAGATTGTAAAAACAGTGTATTCAGACAAGAGGTTCTCCAGATGCAGTAGCCCAGAACAGTGTCTTCTGATGGGTATCCTCTTTCTCTGATATATCCTGCCACAGACTGAGATGCAGAAATTTTCCAGCTGTATTTTTGTGTTCCTTCTGATACAAGTTACATTCAAAGCCCTGGTAGATCATATATAAAATAATAGATATTTACTGTGGTATATTATACTCTACATATTATTTATCTTGGGCCTCATGTCAGTGTAACTTGAAGGCTATTAAATGCATGCTAAGAGAAAGGAAGAAAATTTAGTAGCTTAAGTTACTGGGGTTTGGGGTGGAGAGCTTAAGCTGATTACAGATTTTTGATGTTTTCAGATGTCTAAAAAGATTTAATAGACAATGGGTAATAGACACAGTTCCACAGAGATCTGGTCTGTGCTCTGTGTTGTTCAACATGTTCATAAATAACCTGAAAAAGAGGTTGAGCAGCAGGATGAGAAAATTTTTCACATGATACTAAGTTATTCAGCATAGTGAGACAAAGGAAGACTGTGAAGAATTACAAAAACATCTTATGCAACTGAGTGGCTAAGCAATCAAATGACAAATTAAATTGTTCTTGATGAATGATGTAGTGATAAACTGTGAGGATAACTATGAGGAAAACATCCCTATCTTCACTTATAAAGTGATGGGCTGCGGACTGAACATTACCAATGAAGAGTTCTGGGGTTATGGCGCATAAAGCTCCACGAAAAGTTCAGATTACTGCTTAGGAACTGTCAAAGTCATATCAAATGCTATGAATTAATAGAAAAAGAACAGAGAATTCAACAAAGAGCATTGCTATAGCTCTTGTATAAGAGCACGATTCATCCACATCTTGAACACTATGGATATTTCCAATACAGGAATTAAGAGGCATCAAATTAAGTTAGTCAGATCAATGCTCAAAACATGAAATCAGAAGTAGGTTTTGGATCATTAGATTGTGTATGTGTGGAACAAATTCCAAAAGAACGCTATGAATGCTGGAAATATCCACGGGTTCAGGAAGTCTATACAGATAACTGGATGAAAAATCTATTGTGAGTTACTAAGGATGTAGAAAGTAACCAAGCTCAGGGAATCAGCTACACTGAAAAGAGTTGGAGGAAGGGAGATTATTCTAGCAGAGTATTATTTGTACTTACTGTATTCATGCTTTGTCCCAGATAATTGCTTCTGGACAGTGTTGGAGTGTGTATATTGATCTAAGTAAACTTTGGTCTAAGCGAGTATGGTCATTCTCATGTACTCTGTATATATATGTATATATACATACACACAATGTACATGAGAATATATACACACACACACAAAAAAAATTATGCTGTATGTATAATAGAAACATCTAAACACATACATGGATATAGATAAATATATAAAAATATGTTGCTTACAAACATTGCCACCCTTAATAAGGCAATGGGTTTCACAGGACAGCTAGTGCAAACTGGCAAAACGAGTACAGTTCATTATTTCCATGACTATGTAGCAATAAACATACACAGAGAAGATGTTAATGCATGACACTAAAATAGCTTATAATTTCACATAGGAACAGGACTCTGAGTAGTTAAATATAGTTCACAGTTAATTATCTCAGCAGGATATAAAATGGTTATAAAACAGATTGGTAAATCTGTTGGATATGCCTTCTTTTTCCAAATATAGTGAAAGATACCAGCTGAAGTATCTCTGTAAAATACAGTGATGAACCAGATTCACCACTGGTATGAATTTACTGCTATGATTTCTATAAAATTCTCTCCCAAATCTTTCCACCATTTTTTCCATAACTGATCAGTATGTCTGCATTTACATTTGTTGATGTATCTTCTTTATCACCAAATAATGTCACTCTAGTTCTCAAGAAACAAAGGTTTTCTGTGAAAAAAAAATCTTTTAAAAAGTGAAAAGACAAAGTGTTTCAACATCATGAGTAGAAATTCATGAATGAATTTCTCTTCTGAAAGCAAGACAAAAATGTTGGGGTTTGAAGTGTTATAGTAAAGTAGATAATATCAATATCAATCACAATTATTTTTTATTTAATTGTTTTGACAGTAACATTTTTTTACATGTAAAATACCTTCTTTATATATTTTTCATTATTGCTAAAGTTAGGGCTATTACATTTGTCTCAATAATTCTCTCATTTTATGTGTGACACATACAGAAAGAGTACTGACCAAAGTCAAAGCATCCAAAGAAACAAGAATTATGTCAGTAATAAATACATGGAATTAGGAAGCCATACTGTAATGTTATACAACCGTTTGTAAAGAGATTTCATGAATGTTTAATTGCTCCAATAATAAAGTTAAGATCTGTTCATTAAATATCTGTAACAAACGCCTCTGTGTATTAAAGAGAAGAAGAATGTAAACACCTGTCATGTTGGTAAATGATGGTGTACCTAACATCGATATATTTGCCATTTGATGCAAAGATTGATTCTTGGGAACCAAAATCACAATTCATTTATATAAAGAAGGCAAGTAATTCAATTCATGGAATAGTAACATGTGCATTGGCATTCTCTTCTCAGATCCTAGATTTATTAGTGCTCACCTGATACAAGAGAGCGACAATCCAGAAGATGACAAAATCTATTTCTTCTTCCGAGAAAATGCAATTGATGGAGAGCACACTGGAAAAGCCACTCATGCCAGAATAGGGCAGATTTGCAAGGTAAAATGATGACTTCTTTGTGTGAGATTGAATACACTTTGCAAGTGATTTTAGAAACTGCATTTTCTTGCCTGTAAACTATTCAGTATTAATACCAGCATTGTACTAAAGCAGAGATCATCCCAAGTGAAAAATATTTAGGAGATAACACACCCAAAGGTGTAGTATTCAGTTCTTTTCTGTTTGGGGAAGCTTCACAAACTCAGATGTGTTGTTTAAAAAGGCATAGGCATCTTCTGAGGTTTAGAATGTGTCTGCAAAAGAGAGAAAATTTTACAGGAAATATGATACTTCCAGGTAGACCAAAAACATTTGAAGAATTTACTTTTTAAAGGAATGTTTATACGTTTCTATTCCCACATTAGTGAGAACCTTTAAAACAGAGGCAAAGGAAGATTTAACGACACAGTTGTTTGAAGCTAGCTGTGGAAATGGGCACTCATTCAGAAGACCCTTAATGACTGCAGATTGAATCATTCATCCACACTGATAAACATCCAAATATTTTTCTGACAGACTTTTAAAACGATTTCTACAAATAAAATTATATTAATAAAAGTTGTAGCTTTGGCAACTATGATGTTTACGGTAAAATTTCATCTTAATCCATAAGCACAGTTTCAATTTATCTTCTCAAATCCAGAGGGAACTGCTTGTAAACCAGTTTCCTCATAACTTCTTGGTGCACTTTAGCTGCAAAATTTATGAATATACAACTGATCCCACTGTTCTGGCATTTTTATCTACTTTGTTCACTTGCAACTTGCATTTCTACTTTGTTGCTACCCAGTTAAGTATAATAAACCCCTTCAGCTTTACCAGGACATGGCAGCCTGGGAACTCTGGAGAAAAATATCCTCCCTGTCTTTCCCCAGCGCTATATATATATTACCATATATAATGAGGTTTGGGGTTTTTTGGTTTTGTTTCTTAAATGATGTGCTACTATGAAATCTGTTGCAATACAATGTAAAATAAAAGCAATTCAGAATTAATGTCTTTGACAATAATGTTTTTCTATGTAGAAGGTGAACTCTTTTCTCTGTTTTCTAAAAGTAGCATCTTGTGATTATTTACTGTATTTTCTCTGTACTCTGTTGATAAACAAAGACTGGTACTAGATATTAATGCAAAATACTTTTGTTATTAGAATGACTTTGGTGGACACAGGAGCCTTGTTAACAAATGGACAACTTTCCTCAAAGCACGTCTGATTTGTTCTGTGCCAGGACCTAATGGCATTGACACACACTTTGATGAACTACGTAAGTGGCAGAAATGGTTTTAAACACAGAAATGTTTTCAGGTATTATCCATATGAAACTAACTTAGTTTTCTTTTCCTTCTCTTGTTACTGTTACAGAGGACGTGTTCCTAATGAACTCAAAAGACCCTAAAAATCCAATAGTCTATGGAGTGTTTACAACTTCCAGGTATAGAATGTATCATTTTACTTGCATGGAAACTTGGGTGGCTTGTTTTAAAGAGTTCTCTTTGTTAAAGATGTTTTTAAGAAACACAAAATTTTCTTAACCTTTGAACTGAGAAGTCAGTGGCACTAAGAACTAATGAATTAGGTTTCTTTTCTTATGAGCAATGTACATCATCACTCTGAAGCTAGTAATCACAAAGACTATCAGTTTCTCAGGCTGTTCTTGCCATTGAATTGGCTTTTTATGGTGGGGATCAGAATTTGTAGCCCTTTCCACACAGACCTGGAAAAATAACACAGGCATAAATATGCTTGTTTGGGGGCAGGGTAAAATACAAAATCTGTGGTGTGAGAAATTAGTTACTCAAGCAGATATTAGTAAAAAATATTGCTGAAATCTGGAAACTTTAACGATCTTTCAAAAGTTCTGTTATTGAATCACATATAACTGTGACATGAATGTTTTGGTTTCATTGTGCTTTCACCAAGAACAAAATTATGCTTGTAGCTTTGGCCTGAGGAAGGTTTGTAGTACTGGTTGCATTGTCACATTTATTTGTGAAGGACAAAAGTTTTAGTTTCTAAACGGAAAGAATGTTTCTAATGATAACCAGGCATAGAAGAGGGAGATTTACAAGTCCTTACTGTCGTCTGTAGGAAATCTCAAGGTAAGAAACACTGAAGTTTGCGTGTGTGCTGCCCAAATGACAGAAGAGGCTGCTAAAATATAGAAAAATGCGAAGTGTAGGAAAGAGTTGAATAGTTCTCTAGGGACTGCCCCGTTGAAGTTTACTCAAACTGGGGTTTTGGTCTTCTGGGGACAATATATTTTAAATAGTGAAATAGCAACCATCTGCTTAGGAAAATATCTGAGAGATCGTATCAGTTATGCTGAGCTTTCACAGGAGGTGAGTTAGGATTGCTCTGAGAACATGTCAGAGTTTTGATAATCAGCACATGCAATAAATTAGAAAGCCACAGGCCGCTATTCCCATAGCTCTTCCACTCAATTAAACCGACTGATAATTTAAAGCACCTCATCTGATTTCTTCTCCCCTCATTTTTAGTAATATCTTCAAGGGGTCAGCAGTGTGTATGTACAGCATGACTGATGTGAGGAGGGTCTTTCTTGGTCCCTATGCCCACCGAGATGGACCAAACTACCAGTGGGTTCCCTACCAAGGGCGAGTGCCATATCCACGCCCAGGAACTGTAAGTACCCTGAGCAATACAGTAATCTGAAATGGGAAAACTATGGAAAATATTTTCACACATTACATGGTCCTTGAGCTGAGATCCAGGGAAGAAACTGAAAAAGATAATGAAATGGATAAGGTGACAGAAGGGAAAGCTTGATGATTCCTCCAGATCAAAAATGTACTGACTTTCTTGTGAAGTATGAAGCTGCAATAGCAACTTCATTTGGATTTTAATTTTGGCATTCATATTAACAAATTCAGCAGAAGTTTGAGCAATGGCTGGAGAATTTTACTGAAAGTCAGATGTTTAATAGATTATGCTGCATTATCCTTTCCTTGGAATTTTTCTTACAAATATTAGCTGCGACATTCTTAGTGACAATGAACAGAAAACAGAACATCTGCCTGACTGTAAAGAAACTTTCAATTGTTCTTGACATTATAGTGAGACAGATATTTCTGCAGTGGATGATAGAGTGACTGTAATATTTTCTAACTTCCATTGGCATTTTTTAAAATCTTTGCTTCTACCTGTTTCTCTGTTTCTAGTTATGAGTGACTAAAATGTCAGTGTATATAAGACATCCATATGTATAACTCCCAACTAATGTCATCACATTCTAGAAATCTTTAACTGCCCCTGAAATGAGCAGAAGTCTAAGAAGATGGGACATTCATGAGAAAAGCATTAATTTTATACATTGGGGTAGCTCCTTAGCTAGTATAAATCAGCTTGGCCCATTTAAGCTGTGAAATGTCATTGCTGAAGATTAAATATATGTGCACACATGTATACATATAAACTATAAATATAAATATATGTCTGTAATATTCTTTTAAAAGCTTCCTTAAATATAAAGCACAAAACAAACCAAGAATAACTTTGATCTTTTCTGTTAAATCATCGGATTTTCTACTTTTGTCTGTTATGTTTTGAAATTGTTCTTTCAAACATGATCTTTCAATTGGTCTGCAACAGCTAGACAATATATATGCTCAACCTAATGAAAATTACTTCCTAAATAAAACAGTGCTCCCTGACAGCCAGATTCCTCATCACTCCTTGCTTTGTCGCTACGACTGCTAAAGAGATTCCTAATTTTTTCCAGAGTTAAAATACAAGCTCTGCAGCATAGGAAAGGTTTCATTTTTTATTTGATGTTGAACCTTTTTTTTTTTTTTTTATTACTATTGTTAATGCTGATATGTCAGAGGGGTATTTTTAAGTTGTATTGTTTTACATCCTTGTGGAAAATTTGAATGTGTAGATTTTTTGGTATTTCTTGTATAACTAATATAATCGGTCTGACAGACTTAATGAGTTAGTGTTCATTATTCTGTTTATTTATATTGGTTTTTGATTCCAGTATTGATAAACCTTTCTAAACAAAACCAAATAATAGATATTATGTAAAACTACAGACAAAGAAGAACGTTACATGTTTGTATCACAGAAATGGACTGAGATACAGAACTGACTGCTGAATAGTGGCTCTGTTACGCTCATTCCTCAGCAGAGATTGGACACAGCTCTATTGAGATTCTGAATGCACAGCTCAAATATTTGCCCTAGAGACTGGCAACACAGCCCTGCCTGCCTCGGAGCCTGTGGGTTATTCCAAGACTTGTCTGAGGGTCTTGAACTGAGATCCATATGGGAGAAGAATAACTTGATCAAATTCCCAAGAACAAGCAGAAAAGCAGGGACCCAAATCCAGCCCCTAAGTGGCTAAGTGACCTAAGCCACCAGATCCCTTGCCAAAGTAGGGAAATACAGTTAAGTTACATACGCTTTTTTTTCTGGCTACCCCCTCAGAATGGATTTTACCCTTACAATTTCACTATAACATACTTATACCAAGATTCACAAAGAAAATGTGAAAATATTCAGATTTCATTGTAAACATTTTTCTTGCCTAAGGGCAAATCTGATCCCAAATTATACAATTCTACATAACCCTTCAGTCATGTAGTGCAAGAGGCCATGCCACTGTAAATTATGTTAATTAAAGAGTGGCTGAGGCCATCAATTTCTCCTAGCCCACTGCCAGTGACTCCAGTACTGGTGTCTACCACTTTGAATTTTTTTTAATTTTTTTTTTCCCCTCACAGTTGCTAAATCATTCTACTGTATTAGTAGGATAAAACTGAATTTTAAGATCAGAGATGTTTCTGGCTGAAAAGAAGCGTTTTGTTTCTAAAGTGATAAAATTGAATGTATTTTCAATGGCTTTGAAAACCTGTTGAGAATAAAGAAGAAAGGTTTTTGAAGATCCTTTAGATGTCAGACTTACGTCTTCCTTTTCCAAGAAACGGAGAAAGGGAAGGGAGAAACAAAACCTGAGCTTCTTACAATGATTCTGTTCCAGATCTCACTGCAGATAAACAGTGCTGAATTATCTGAGGAATTTAATAGGTGCAGTGCCAATAAACTTCTTGAGCATCTGGTGACTTGCCCAGTACGAGCAAGCAAAAAGGAAAGTTAAGCTTCTTTTGAAAAGTCAGAAAACTTTGTAAACAATACTAGATCGGCTTCACATTTAACAAAGAAGTTGCAAGATTCTTCCTTTAAGATCTAGTAATTATTATTATTATTTTTAACCTTTTAACAGTATTTGGGAGAGGAGGAAGGATTTTTGTATATACTTCATCTTGAGTGAAGTACCTCATCCTGAATTCCTGTCTGACTTTCTGTGAATTCATCTACAGAGCTCAAGTTTTCTCTGCTTCATGGTACCAGGAGTCTATTTTCAATTATGACCGAAGCCCTTTTTGTTCTTAACAAAATGTAGTGATTGATTTATTCTGTTGGATTCCCTAATATGACAGATAGGGGGTAGCCTAGTTACCTCCTCCTGGCTGATCAAACCCTTGACATAGCATACTGGGGACTGGCAACTGGAAGTGCATGTTAAATGCAAAACTTCTTTTGACCCTACTTGGATCCAAGATCGAGCACCTTTCTCCAGACTTTTTCAGGACATTTGTATTCATGCCTATCTTTTAGCACATGAAAACTTCCCTTGTTGTCAGTGGGACTGATTAAGTATATAAACATGAGTTCTGATGAAGCGCCTTGCCAATCAGCTTGACCTAGACCCACTAATATCAAAAGCAATCCTGTCATTATCATCAAGGATAATGTCTTTGTTTGTGTGTCCTGGTTTTGTGCCCATAACATAAATAAACATGACAGGACTTTCCTTCTCAGGACAGCTCAGACTTTATGTGGGTTGAGATTTTTCTGCAAGCACTTTGGACTATGGATAGGCCAGATCTAACCTACTGATGGTGCCCATTTCACTCCATCAACAAAGGGAGTTGTAGCCAAAAGACTATAGCTTCCTAAAGTTGGGTTGGATGAATATGAGCTGCAGACTAGTCCAGGTAATGTGCTTTAGACTTTAGATGTAAAACCACAAAGTTACTGGCTGTTATTCTCAGAAAGCAGGGGATCCAAGCAGTAATCTGGCTCTCAGAATTGGGAGTCTCATTTAAACACACAGAGTTATGACACTAATTTTAGTTTTATGATTTTTCTGCCTAAAATATATCTGGTCAACATTGCTGCAAGTAAAATCATTTGTTAGGAAATGAGCCAGAAAGTAAATATTCAAGCAATTGATCCCAGCTGAAATTCATTTACTTAAAATTGAAATGAATATTCATTTACTATTTTTTTGCAGTTTGCCCAGCTGCAATTAACAATACTTAGCTCTTGTGTAGTGATTTTTATACTTAAAGCACTTTACATATATTGTCTAATTAATCATTATCTAATTAATCTGAGTAATTAGTATTGAATTGTAGTTAGAATATTAATCGAGATGTAAAGCAAACAAAACTGAAGTGTAGAATTCTAAACATAATATTTGAGACAGACAGTGGTTTAGCCAATGATTATAAAAAGCCTGTCTGATTTTAACTTTGTAATATTTCTGTATGAGAAAGAGCATATAATAATAAAAAAGCTGAAAAATACTGACACAATAAAGTAGATAACTAACTTGCCTTCTGCTTAGTCTGCTCCACATGCGTTAATCAAATGTCCTCACTCCCTCCTTCCCTCCCTCCCTTCCATACCATATAATTGAACAGAATGCAGGAATTTGCTTACTAACAAATACGCCAAAAAGGGACAAGTTGCACTTTATATGTCCATGCTAAAAGTGTCCCTTTGCTGCGTATAACAACTACTCTTTTTGACAACATTGATTTTTTAATTTCATTTCTGATGAATTATTAATAATTTGGATCAAGGTGATAGCAAAGACAATTGATTTCTTCTGCTGAGTATCCTTCAAGGTCTGGATTCTTGGTTAATAAGATGTTGTCCTCTAGGTATTTAATTGGAAGATATACTATACATGGATTTAAAGGTCAAATTATCTAGGGCATTTTAACACCAGCTGTTTATATTTCAGGTTCAAATGCCATAAACATAATTATTATCAACTGTGTTTCAGAGTTTTACAGGTCTTAAGTCGGTATCTGAACAGATTAGAGTGGGGGACACCAAGTTCTTTGCCAAGTATCTTTGGACTGATGACTTAATGCCATTGTGGCTCATTTGCTTCATCCATTCAACATTACTAAGACACTACCAATGCTTAATTTAAAGTAACCTCTAATTGTTCATAAATACTTACCAATTCTACAGAAGAGACAAGGGCAAATAGTGGTGATAGCCAGTCCTCAAGTCTCTGCATGGGGACATGCAGTAGGTGAAAGTGGAAGAATATTTTTGTGGATACGAAAACCTGGTCTTACCTCTCTTTTCCTTCTCAGCCTCTACGTTTCGTTCATGTTGGGAGAATGTGAGCAGAGAATTCTCTGTTTTTCACAAACTAGAGGCAAAACTACCTGGCCCACCCATGGCTGTATAAGGGGGCAAAGCGACTCTTTACTGTGCGACTTCATGGGGACAAGCTTAATCCCAAGGGGATACCAATGTTTCTGTCACTGCATGGTACAAAACAGTGAGGAGTTATTTCAGTTCTTTAGTGAGTTGTCTCACCTAACTCTTTGCACTGACAGTGCAAGAAGCAACACTCACAGGAGGCTTTGTTTAGAATCAGTGGAGAGAGAAAAGAAACATTTAGGACATGACTCTTCTGATGTGATTTAGTGTAACAGAATCCATGTTCTCAAGACTACATGGATGGTGTAGGCTTGTTGAGACAAGCAGGATTTTGAAAAGTGAGTAGAATAGGGGTTTGTCCCAGCAGTTAAGGATTTGGTTCCTAGGAGAGGAATTGATTTCCAGTCAACATCTGAAGACAATACTTCGAAACTAAGACAGTAGCATAATTAATTAATTTTCTGTTGTATACATAACCAAATACTGAAATTGCTTGTTTCATATTGAATTTTAGGTAATTCAGGATTTCTTCCTTCTGCCAATTAAAGATTAAGATTAATCAGTAAATTACTAAAAATCATTTTGCACTACATTATAGTAAGAAAAACTATGTATGAGGATCATTTACACTCTGTTAACCATATTGATTAAAATAAAAAATTTTTAGAAGTACTTTTAGTGAAGAATCAACTTGTGCTGTCTGTCATGAATCACTTAGTTCACCTGTCATATTTAATTATATACTGCAGTAGTTGGGATGATTGTAAGGAAATGGATTTCTAATGTTTCTAGTGACTGATAATTAAATGTAAAACATTTTCTCTTTTATTTCTAGTGTCCCAGTAAAACATTTGGAGGCTTTGATTCCACCAAAGATCTTCCTGATGAAGTTATAACATTTGCAAGAAGTCATCCAGCCATGTACAACCCGGTATTCCCCATCAACAACCGTCCAATCATGATCAAAACAGATGTGGATTACCAGTTCACACAGATAGTAGTAGATCGAGTAGATGCTGAAGATGGCCAATACGATGTGATGTTCATTGGCACAGGTGAGGAGTTTTGAATCTACACTGTATGCTCCTCCGGGTATTATGGAGACATAGCTCAGACAAAATTTCAGAACTGATTTATGTTCCAGTATATACCTGTGAAAATTTGGGGCAAGACTCAAAACTCTGTGTGTGGGGAAGTCTTTGTTACATACATTCACTGTAACAGGTTCAGGCCTTGGCCTGCATAGCTTAATTCTTTAGGAGCTTTGCCAACTGGATAAAGATCAAACCAGTCTCTTTTCAACTGCTGTTATTAGTGAATTTTATTAGAAATATCTTGCCTCATTAATTATAATTTTGAAGTACTGCATAAGAAGTATTAACATGAATGAGGCAAGTATCCAGGTATGGGAAATGTCTTGTGTGCCTTTCAAGTATTTCAAGTATTGCCTTAAGATGCCCGGCTCTTTAGCCAGAAGAGTGCATCATTTTAGTTAAGGTGAAGATATCTGGCACATACAAGGTGTTTTAAGATGAGTTGGTAAGAGAAACTTGATACCCTTTCCAAAGCATTTGCAGAATCTTACAGCTTGGGCATTTTATCAAAAGTGGAAATATGCACTCAGAATAGACATCTTTTCCAGAAAGGTAATAATGAGAAATAACAGTAGCCAAAAATTAGCTGATACTCATTTGCCTATGTTCAGGGGCTTCTTAACTATGCTGATTAGCAGTTGGTGAATCTGCTTCTTCACCTTTGAAGATTTTCCATTAGTTGGCTGGTGTTTCAGTTATGTTGAGTAAAAGTATTTTAAACTTCTATTGAACATAATTGCTAGTAATTAGACATTGGCATCATGAAACCAAACCAAATCAAACCAAAACCCCACTGTTTCTCTTCAGCTTTGGACCAAAAAATATCTGTCTGTCTTATAACAGTCCAATTTTTATTTGATTTAAATACAGTTCTAGTACTCTAGACCTGGAGTCAGATTTCCAAAGCAATAAATCTCAAAAGTCTCTTTAATGTTGATGCCTGAAATATATTATGAGCAAACTGAGAGCTGATGAAGCTTTGTACCATACACAGTGCCTGCACAGCAATTCAGAACATTTACTGCAGGAAATGCAGCTCTGCAGAAAGTGTTCCAGCTCTTTAAAGTTGTGAGCTGAGTTATTAGATACCAGTGCTACAATATGTTCTTGCATAAAACATTGAAAAGTAATTTCATGTGATTTTACACAACACATGTATTTTCCATCACACATTAGAGACTAGAATGCCATCCACAATTAGCAGTGCTTTTTGCCTTTCAACGAGTCTTCTATGACCTGGTTCAGTCCAGAAAATAAAAAAGCAATGCTCCCTTTGGCTGTGACGTGAGGGAACAAACCCTTCAGCATCCAGAGTATGATGCTGAACAAATGTAAGGAGCAGATTTATGTCTAGATCTTAAGCACAAGAGGTGGCATTTATCTCACCAAAGTTTGGCATTCCGTCTAAGAAAGATGCATTGGCTTCTGCAAGGGAAAGAGATAAGTACTTCCAGAGAGAGATTCATTGTACTTTTATCGAGACCTATTAGAGTAAGATGAATAGTTATGCAGAAGTTCCTGTCTGTTTTCAGACAGTACAGGAAGACTTGCTTAAACCTGAGCTATAGCTTTTAGATAATTATCATTACGTATAATGATTCTTATCTAAATTAGTCAGGCAAGGTCTCTCTCTGAAAGAGCCTCAGTGATACCTAACTCTTACCTTTGAGCTGGGAATTTAGACACTCACTTAATTCTGTAAACCACTAATATTCAGGTGTGTGGTAAGTGCTCTGGATCCCATCCAGCACTGCAGATAGTTGTGCCCAAGAACTGTAAGAAAAGTACTGAAAGATTATTACTTGCACTTGCCAAAAGAGATTTCAACACCAAAACCCCAGGTTTGTAAGTGCAGAGTATTACTATTTCTTGAAATATTACTTTTGTCCAAAGAAACTGTTCTTTTTCCAGCGGGAGGACAAGAACAAGCATTACACCTGTCCATGGAGCTGGACATGGACATCTTCTGAGCTCACTATCGTCATTTAGATTTTCAGAATGAGTAAAGGGCATCTTCCACATAGGGGGAAAGGAAAAGAGGCGGGACTGAGGCCCTGCCTGCCTCCTGCCAGAAAGCTGCACCGAGCCAGCTGGTCAAAGTCAAAGAAACCAGAAACAGATACACAATCAACATGTATCATATCTTCCCCAAAGAAAGAACAAACCGGGGAGCAGATAAGGGACTCTAGTCACAGTCCGGTTTCCCACTTGATGATCTGAACCTATGACAAAGCCAGAATTAAGCTCTCTGGGGTATGACTGGATTTTTCTGTGCAGGTCTGTCCCATCAGATTAGATATATTTCTCTGTATTTTCCCATTGCTCTTGCAGCAATCTACATTATTCCCACATGCTGTTGAACTTGAATATGTTGAAGAAACACTTTTTTTTCCCTTTTCATTGAATAACTGATGATAATTGAACACAACATAATTAATAGCCATCCAGTGTGGTCACATTTTCCTTTCCTGTGGGTGAAATCTTTAGCTGAGCAGTTACTTTCCCACTGTGATTGTACCAGTGTGTTTCACAATGGAAATAAAATCATATCGGCATGTTTGAAATTATATCAGAAAACAACAGGATTTAAGATACGCAATTAATGCATATCCTGAGTGTCTGATGCTTGGGATCATTTGGCACAGTCAAGGTACATCTGTCAGTAAAACAAATTAATAACAGTAATCTTATCTTAGTGAGTAGAGCCTATTGATCCTAAAGGAGAAGGCTGATTCCATTTGTGTGAAATTGTTTGAAATACTACTCTGTAAAACTTGATCTAGAACTCAGATAAAGCCCCACTTTTGTACCTGTGGCCTGACCAGAGTCACCATAGTGATTAACACAGTGTATCTTTGACCTCAGAGGCTTTCTTGAGCATCAAGCGACTGTAATTGTTGCAGGATCCACTTAAAAGTCAGACCTTTTCTTGAAACAGCATTATGTGGGGAACTCATGTCTGCTCAGTGCCCACTCAGGCTCCAGAGTTTCCCTTGTGTTGTTTTGTCAAAAATTCCCCTTTATTTCTAGAAGATGGCATTTGATGGATTGTGGCTGGGGACAGTCATAGTCCTATGCTGCTGTATTTATTAGATCAGAGTTCTCTTTTTTTACTCATACAGTGTATTTTCCTCAAAACCACAGTCATCAAATTATTAGGATAATTAAGGAAATGAACTCATCCATTAAATTACAAATATAACTAACATTAAATTATCTGTTGTTCTGAATTACCCTGTTGTAGAAATGTGTATTCTTTTCTTTCTTGTTTTAAAATTTGTTTGTATTTTTCTCAATATTCCTTGAATTAAATATATTCAATTAGTAGCAGTAACCATAATGAAAACCACTTCCAAAACAACTTATCTAGTATATTTCACTAGCTTAGTTTGTACATGTAGCTGCCTAAATAAAAAGGAAGTTGTGCTTTGCTTTGTTGTTATTGTCCTAAGAGCATTTTTTTCTTTTTATTAAAAAAAATCTATGAAATTATGACAAATTAAAGAAAACAGTGATGCACATATTCTGTGGGAAAAAAAAATCACTTCTGTCTAAACTTCAAAAATATGTACTTAGAAAATAACATCTGTTTAAAGGAGAGCAGATGGAAAAATGAAGATCTCAGTTCTACGGGATATTCTAGGATTTCTAGAATATTTTAATCCAAATTCATGTAAAGAATTTAAAATACCAGAATTTTCTCATGAAATCAATAGCTTTTAAATTTGTCACTTTATAAAAACAATTTCAGCTTGTGTAATCTGTTTCAATTTTATGTGTATTTTCAATATAGAAGTGGTGAGTTGTCATGATTCTCATCAGAAGTTTCAGCTAACACAGAGAAATACATATACATACAAAATATGTTTGGATTTTGTGTAATTGATGGGTGATTCTTGTTTTAAGAATGTTGACCTTTACAGTTCTGTTACTTTCAGAATTTTATCAATTTAAAATTCCTTGTGTTTTCCTAAACTGTTACTGCTATAGCATGTGAAACATTAAAAGTCCTCAGGGACATAGCTGTTATTCCTGTGATACATTTACAGGGTACTACACCAGGCTGGTTAAAAAGAAAAGTCACATACTGAGTGTTTCTATTTCAGAGTCTACAGTGATGTGCACCAACCTAGAAATAATTCTATTTTTTTGGTTGTTGTTTTTCCATGAAAAGTCTGTTCATGGAAACAAACAAATAAATCACATATGGAGAAGCTGTAAAACAGAGATGGTTTTAAGTCTCAATCATATTCACAAAACCAAAGGCTGTAGCTCAGGAATTTCAAGTACTGGCCTTGTTCATGTTAAAGCCAATTGCAAAACTCCAAGAATGTAAATGGGTACGGTATTAAAATGCTGGCACACATCTATTTCTAAGCAGAAGATACAAGTTGTGTTGCTTGTTACCCCTCAGTGAAGACCAGTATGTAACACGCAGAGAAATACAGATGCCTTGAGGGGCTTATACATCTTAGGTACTTTGTTTGACATGGGGAAGATCACATGTACTTAACAGATCTAACAGCTTCATCTGTCTAATATTTATCCAGATGTTTTTATATCCATACTGAGCCTTCTGACACCATCTTCTCATGCATTTTAAGAATGAAATCATTATATTGAAAATGGACAATAAAACATGCATGGGTAAATTTAATGCATGTCCTTCCTCAATTAAATGACTGAAACATGACTTAAATAGCGTTTCAGTCCTTTTTATTCTTTAATAGCTATAGTAATATTTATCTTCTTTGTTGCATTTTGATAGTTGAAAGACTTCAGTGAAATGTCCTACTGCAATTCAGTGTTTTTCCAGGTTATTAAACAGCAGTTGTTATTTTGAACAAGTGCTCACAGATGCGTAGCTTCAGAGTCTTTGTATGTGAAATAATTACATACTACAAGAAACTCTGGCTGCTCTGAAACTGAAGTATGCATCTTAAGCACCTGAAAACTTTTTTTTTTTTTTTTTTTTCCTTTTCAAGATATCGGAACAGTTCTTAAAGTGGTTTCAATTCCTAAGGAGACTTGGCATGATTTAGAGGAAGTCTTGCTGGAAGAAATGACAGTCTTTCGGGTAAGTGCGGCTAAATTTCAAGTGTCAGGTTGTAGATTTCTTTGTGGACAGCTGCAAACTAAACTTGTTGCAGTCTAGCCAAGGAATAGCCTGGCATACCCCTCTAATTAGCTTGTCATTTACAGACCCAGACACTAGTCAAAATAAACTTTGAAACTTCCAGTCCTATCTGGAGGTTAATGATTAAAAAAAAAAAAAAAAGGCATTCTGGGCTTTTGTTTTGTTGTTTGAAAAGTAAATTAGTATCTCTGAATCTTAGAGCTAGTACATGCTGTGGTAAAGTATCTATCTGTGCAAGTCTGGGAATAATTCCTGTCTGTTTTCTCCCACAGAGAGATATAAAACATGAATTTTATAGTTGCGTCAACTCTTCAGACTATCAGCATAATGTAACTGGGAAGATACTTTAGGAAAAACAGTGATCTGCACAGATTTCTTTTGCGTAATAATCTGAGAAACAAAGAAAGTGTTTATATTTTCAAAGGTGACTTTAGGGTCTCATTTTCATGGTTTGACGCAAGACATGATAAACCCCTAATCTGTAGTACTTTGGGGTTTTTTTGTGAAAATCGATCTCTTCCATTTTTCCTATCTAAGTCACCTAAAAAATAAGGCATCCCATAGGCACTCCTGCAAGTTGAGGCTGAGTAAACCTTTCAAACACTTTCCAGACAGAACCCAGGGACGTCTTGTGTTTTGTACACAACAACGAATTATTTACATTCCTCACGTTATTCTTTCTGTCAGTACTGTTTTATGGCACCAGTTCACAGGCTCCAGGCTTTTGGGGGGGTTGATACCTAGCTGGGAGCGTGAGGTTAATCTGACAGTGTGAAGATGATGCTTGTGTACTTGGTGAGCCCCATGGGCATCACATGGTCTTGCCCCAGATGTGCTGACAAGGGCTGTGCTCAAAACCTGCCACAGGGGCCCAGCCACCCCTCATCAGAGTCACTTGCCATCCCTTTATCCTTGGTTTCTGAACAGACACATCATATCTAAACAGATATCATGTTGCTATTATTTTTTATATTTTTATTTTTTTCTTGAGGGCAGTCTTGCACAGAAACCACTGTTTTGAGTGCAAGATACCACTGAAAAATGGGTATCTGTTTCGGCAATCCATGGGATTTTTTTGAGAGCAGAAATGTGGGTTTTTTTTCTTTCTTTGTTTTAGCAGAAAAATAAAGTAGAAACTATGAGGAGAAAATGAGACAAGTAATTTGTAGCTCCCAGCTTTTTTTCTTTTCTGTACATGCAAAAGTCATTACATTAATGCAGGGTAATTTGGCAATTGTTGATAATGTATGAGTCTCTTCCCTAAATCAAGCAGAAGTGCCAAGCTGAAGGAGATCAGAGAAATATAAAAGTGAAAGAATGAAAATAAATGGAATGAAAGTTTTATTTCAGAAAGGCTTTACAGAAGTAGAATGGTTAATGGCAAATTCACATCTGGTATTTTACTTTACATATGTATTTATTCATTACACAAAAGGATTTTGGTCTTCTGATTTACTTGAAAGCTCATTTATCTCCTTTAGCATGTATTTAAGCCTTCAAAAGGGTCTTAATGTACTTCAGTGGAATAAGCAGAATTTGTATGCATAAGATACGGATCTTTCAATGGGAATTTTAAAAGTACCTTAACCAAATGTAAGTTTCTTTAGTTAATAAAGACTCTATGGACATCATAAACAATGTATTTTGATGTTTAAACTGCAACATGCTGAATAGAACACTTTTCGGTTATAATTCCATGAAACTGAAAATTTTCCGTTTCTATTACATTGATAACGAATTCCAATTTTAAACCCATTTCTCTGAACAGCTGAGCAAACAAACTAATGAGTTCAATTTTCATTCAACTGTTACGCTTAATTGATGCTTTCTAATATAAGGTCTATTAACCGATTTGTAAAGGCAAGTCCACATGCTTAACATCCACTGACCTGTATCAAATTCTCTCAGGATAAGAAAGTTGACAGCTACACAAGTGTAAAACCTTAATAAGGACTTTATTAATATATATAACCAAGAGTATGGTTTTAGATGGAATAAAGTTCATAGACAATTGACTTGGACACTTTGTAACCAAATTATGCCACTTTTACTCTCAGGATTAAAAACCATTCAAGCAGCTGGGCCTAAATGGTATAACAGTCTTTTAATCAGATCTAAACATACTTATGCTGTTAAATATTTCCTACAGTCTCTCATGTAACAAACTAGATATTGGTTTGACATCTGCTTGCTACAGATAATTAAGAGTGGGGAACAATAATTCTCCTAGTGACTTATTTGGTTAATTAAATAATGAGTATTCCAGGGTGTAAAAACCCTTTTGCCAGTTTAAATTGTGTTGTGCAAATATGAGTAAATTCCTTGTATGTGAATAGTGTGGTGCAGTTAACAAGATTATACTTGGGATTAAGATTTGTTCTTATGACTAAAATGTTTCAGGAATGTTTTTTTCACCTTGGTATGGTGAAAACATGTTGCTTATTTCAGTGTTAACACCTTTAATATATAGTATCTATGTATTTTGATACCACCGTTATTATTTTCATATTACCTGGGAGGTTCTTTAAATGTAGTTTTAATATTAATTGTAGAAATTAATTTAAAGATGTGAAACTAGTAACAAGTTAATCACAATGATAATAATAATGGAAAATTATATATCTACAATCAACATAGGAATCAAAGACACACTCAGATCTGTACACACATTCTGATTCACTTACAGCTGGAAATTATTCCATTGCAAGACAACAAGAAGCACTATTACTAAGGAGGTCTAGTTTAACTTCAGGGTTTCTAGGTTGGGCAAATAGCATTCTAGCAGAATTTTTATTTTTATAGAGATTATTTTATATTTTCACTCTTTTTTCCCCTAGGAACCCACTGTTATTTCAGCAATGAAGATTTCCACAAAACAGGTACTATGTGCACAAACTTTAAATCACTTTTAAATATTTATTGGTCTCTGTCTTTTAGAGACAGTAACTTGGCAGTCAGTAGAGACATATTAATTACAGCAGCAGCATCCCAGGCCTTTACATAAACATCAGTAGTTTCTTAGGAAAATGTGACATGCAAAGGAGAAAGGAAGTCTAGTATGTGTTACTTACTAGTAAGGTGAAAACTAAACACAAACTAACCAACTGTCTAGAGGCTCCGAAGGAAAAAAAAAATGTTCTTATGACAGAGAAACGGTTCAAAAGGAATGTCCAAGCTTGGTCTCTTGCTTTAACAGGACTAGTTTTAGCCTCTGTGGGAATAGTCTAGTATAAAATGCAGACAGCAAAAGCAAAGCCTAGAAATAAGACATCCTTAGATAGTGGAAGCAAAGTCTGGAAATGAGACATCCTCTTGTCTGTCTGTCCAATGTCCATTACATTCCTGGATGTGCACCATTCAGCTTTCAGAAAGAAGGTAGATATGGTTTAGACCAAATTTTCCATGGCCTTCTGGTTCAGTGACATGGTTAGGATATGAGTTCCTGACTCCAGAATTAATATTTCCTGCTTTCTGTTGAGTACACTAATAACTGTTCAAAGAAAAGATATGTATTATAGTCTTCATTGTAGACCACACCATAACTAAAATTAACTGGACTTGTTGATGGGTGGTGGTAAAGTTTTGTTTGATTTACAAGGTGATTCCTGCATTTCTGAACAGATACAAGCAATTGTTATTAGGCTTCTTTAGGAGGTAGCAGATGAATTATGTAGTTGTGCAAAGAAAATTGGTTTGCTGTCAAGGAGTGAAGTGGGTATTAGGTGCCTATCTTCCAGTTCTGCCTTGAATTAGGTAGATGGATCCCAGCCACTGTCACTTCCTGTCTCAGAAGTCTGGGACATAAAATTTAATGTCAAACTTAACATAATTAACGTAATATTTTTTTTTCTTTTTCATATTCATGTTGATTTGGAGCTTAATCTGGTAAATACAAGCAACTTGTTCACACTCGTTAATTTTTCCATTAATGTCATTGTCAGTAAAGAGGGGATTTGGTAGTACTTCCAGGACTGGGTGTCTAAAAAATTGTATGTGTTATAAATAAGATTTAGTTAATTCATCTACCTTACTCTATACGTTATTGAATAATTAATTAATTAAACAGAGCTAAATTCATTCTGTAATGAACAGAGCCCAATATTATGTTTGAAAGCTGCATATTTAACTCAGAATTCACTGTATTTAAGAAAGTTGTCTGAAAACTTCCATGTATTTGACAGAAAACATTTTGTTTGGGGACACTTCTAACATAGTTTACCACCTAAACCATCAGAAATGGTAGGACAAAAAAGTGTACTACTGAACACTGAGATATTTAAAAATGAACCTGTAAAATTGTGTGTATGTTCACATCATACCAAAATGCTCTGCTTTGGATTATTTTTATAAGTACATTCCCTTAAAGCAGCAAATCATATTTGATAATGGTCCATGCATCTTCATACAACCTCTTCTTTGAAGCATCTTTAGTTATTCAAGAGAGATTACAATTTTCCCTGATTCTTTTGAAAACAAATTTACACTGCTAAAATTGTTTAAAACTAAAAAAGAGCATAAAACACAAGTTATTCCGGCAGAGTTAAGCTCATGAAAAATCAACCAGCCTCAGGCTAAAAATGACAGAATCATGATACAGTAGACAAGCTTTTGGCACTTTATATCAAATAAGTATATGGCAACATGTTTCCATTTTACATTTATGATTTTAAAATACTGTGGTTTTATAACTCAAACACTTTACTCATTGTGTTCTGATAAGCAGGGCATTTTTCATATAAACAGAAAGATAATTCTATGCATTGTAGAAAGCAGAATCATGAAATGTAAACAGTAAAACCAACATGTCCTCTTGAATAACTTTAAAGAAATCACTTCATTTTATTTTTTCACCAACAATTCTTCCACCCAATTATAAAAACATGGTATGGGGAGTTTCTCCTTGTTTTTGAATATTTTACTACACTGGTTGTTCAAAGCTACCCATTTTGCCATCGTGACTATACGTTGTTACAGATGACTCTTCTTCCTAAAGACCAAAATCCACAAATTATTCAGGAGCAGAATTTATAGAATTATATATATATAATTTTAAATTATATAAAACTCTAAGGCTTCCATGACTCTTTCTATGAGTATGAATTTGGCCCTTGAGAAACAGTGACTTTGAGCAAGAAAATTAAACCTTTATATGTAAGACTAAGCCTTGATACAGTCTTTCTCAGCTCTGTTTTAACTCACAGGAATTATATTTTCTCACTGAAGCTACATGTTCCTCCTAATTTGGGAGTCCTAGGTTGGTGTAGCCTTTATTATATGAGCTTATGCACTGTTAGCAATAGACACAAAACTTCAGAGGACAGCATCATCCTAGAGCCATTGTAACATCCTACAGCTGCATAAATTAACAATTCGGTGGGAGGAGGCTTGCAGGGACCCCCTGGCTACCAACTGTCCCTGAGCCTGTCAAGTGAGGCTTCATGATTTTTTAAAAAATGTAGAAGTAGGCCAAAAAGTCAGGCCTGGCATTCAATCAAAGGTGACTTTTTGTGGATCAAGCTCTCAACTTTTTCTCAGGGTCAGATTTATGATCCCCTGTTTCCAAAAGCCGCTGTATTTCTGGTAAGATGGGACAAAACCAAGGAGATCCTTGGCTGATACAGGCCAGCTCCTTGTCTGGTGAACTGCTATGAAGCGCTTTTGTTTCTCCTCCATAAGATTCTCATGTCAAGACAGAGACCTTCAGAAAGACCTTAGTGATTACTTTCATAGTATTTTTCACAGAGTAGTGAATTTTATTCAGAGATTGCCGTTTCTGTCCATAGTGAGAATATAGAAAGGACCAGCTCAAAACAGATGTCACTTAAGCAGCCCCCTGAACTGTTCTGCATCAGTCACTTTTCAAGACATAAAATTAAATGGGATTTGAAAGGGATTTGAACATCATGCTCCCTAAAGTCCCTACTGAAATTCTGCCTAAGTTATTTTTAAGTTTTTTTTTTTTTTTTTTTTTTTTTTTTTTTTTTTTTTTTTTTTTTTTTTTATTTCAAATGAGAAATCCTCAGTTATCTCTTTGTCTGACTTCCAAGGAAAGACTGCATTTTGTGCATCACCACGGGGCAAATAGAAACCACTGCATTGCTTAAAACATTAGTGTCCTCGGCTTTTCTGGAGTTCTGATACTTCAGCAAGAATTTTTACAGGACAACCTTCCCCCTCACACCCCCCCTGGTTTGATCTGATAATCAGCTGATTTATTAAATTAACAACCTCTTGGGAGAGACTCTTTGCCCAAAAGGCAGTTTGAATGTGTATGGCAAAGTAAGGTCAGACCATTGATGCAAATCATTCTGTTATTATTTTCTGAATTTCATACTGCCTGGATTTATATATTATTAGTGTCCAGAATAATGATCACCAGCTGGAGTCTAAAACCATAATCAGAAGAGCAGCAAACAGGGCAGCAGCCTTCAGGCTGTGCAGCACCTGAAACACATGCTATAGTTCACTGGCTGAACTTTATGAACTTATCTACAAGGAATAGAGTCTTTAAGTAACCCTATTTTGGTCTCACTTGTTTTGTTTTGTTCTGGTTTTTTAATGTGTTTCTGGTCATTCTTTAATTCTAAATGCACTCATTAGAAATCAGGGAAGGGTTTTTGACAAAAATGAAATTGGTTACAGAGGTACACAGGAAAGCATTACACCATTCTTCCTTATTTTCCCATGTGCGTTCTCTGCGTTGATTTTTATATTAGTTGCACCACACGTTGCTACATGCTTATATAGATATTAATGCCCCAATTACATAGGACTCAGATCAATACCATCTGGACATTTAAGATACTTAACTGAAGCTCTCATTTGACCTTTGCTGCCTCCATAATCAGTAAAGAGAAAAGGCATCCCGTGAGAAATTGTTCGGTCACCTAAGATTTGAATTGCTGCTTTTTTTTACTGCAGTACGTACCCCTAAGCAGGGTACTTGATTAAGTGACTTAAGTTAGAGAGAATTAGCTTATCATGTCTGCTGCCTGTCATCTGCTTCTCAGGGTTCCACACTAACTGGGAAGAGGTACATGCAGTTAAGGTTTTATGTAGAGCTCTGAGTGGTCAGAGATTTTTGCCCAGAGAACAGGGTTTACAACCCAGCAATGGCACTGTAATAGAGGGAAGCAGCTGCTTAGAAAGGGCTTCATTTTCCTTTGGGTGCTTTCCTTGTCACATTTTCGTGGACAAAATACTGGTGTTTATATAAATGCATGGGATGTTTCTGTTACGATGAATATGCCTGTATAAACTGCCAAACTGCTGTCTCTGAAAGAAGTTAACACAACACTTTTTTTATGAGTGTTTTTGGTTTTGCTGTCTCCTGGTATCCCGTGCTCATCATTTCTGGTAGGTAAGTGACCTCAGCCACCTTCCATCCCCAAATTCCCTGGAAAGGGTACCTCTGGGGTATCCCAGAGTAGGAGATGAAGAATTTTGATAACATTTCCTGAAGTCTTATTTTTCACACGAGCTTTATGTTTTCTAATAAAGAAAAAAATAGAATTTTTTATTTTCTTGATGGGACTGCTTGGAGTGGGACATTAAAAACAAATGTATTAATTGCTCCACCATGGGTGCTGAGTGACAGTTTAAGCCTTTGATACCAAAGTATCAGTGTTTCCAAAACAGAAGGATTATGCCGTTTAATTTTTATTTATATATTTATTTTGTTTTCCCCTAGTTTTGCATCTCAGAGGGAACTGTATTTACTTACTATACTCATACTTGTTTTCTTTCTGAATTTGTGCTAAGCTGAAATATCTCTGTTTGGACTCTCATGTGGGATCAGTAGTTCAGTTTCCTTACGTCCCTCTGGGGACCAACTTCCCTAATGGACCACATGAATTTGATATCAGAGAGGAAATTGGGAGAGACACGATAGTCTGTTGTGATGCCATACAAAGCTGTAGTTCATTTTGTATGCACGTTTTTTTATTTATTTCATGGCTTCTGTCTGCATTTGAGCTACATCTTCCACTCAAGACTGTTTTTTATCCAAAATAAAGTAAGCCATCTCCCCTCATTAAAGATATTTTTCAATTAGAGTATGTGACATGTCAAAAAGAGTATGAAGCATCTGAATTATCAGACATAAAAAGAATTGCATGCATGGCAGCAGTTCCAAACTGAAATATCTTGGCATCAGTCTGAAATAATTTACTTTAGGTTTCCCCCCACACCTACACAAATCAATGTCATATATAGGAAATTTTAGTGGTTTTCTTTTTCTTTAAATTCAAAAGCATGTTCTCCATTGTGTTCTGTCACTGACTGTAGTGCTTTCCCAGTGCAGGAATTTGAATACAAAAGAAAAAATGGAAGAGTACTTTAATATTTCATACTTTTTAGAGAAGCCACCAAGAGCTTCATAACAAAAATCAGTTTTTCCTGTTTGATTTTTTTTTATCCTGAGGACAATTCTTTTCTCATTCTTTTAGTGTACATCAGGAACATGATCCTTTATTGTATTTGTAACGGTCCTAATATATTATTATCTCACTTTTTTTTTAATGCTTTCCTAGCAAAAAAAGTTAATGATTTTTTATTTTTTTTTAACTTTTATAACAGCAACAGCTCTACATTGGCTCAGCCACTGGAGTTTCACAGCTTCCTTTACACCGCTGTGATGTGTATGGGAAAGCATGTGCTGAGTGTTGCCTTGCAAGAGACCCTTATTGTGCCTGGGATGGTTCATCTTGCTCACGTTACTTCCCCACTGCTAAGAGGTAGGTGCAGTTTTAGATCTCTGCATGGTTTGCTATTTGTTTTAACTAGTTGTCTCAATATGGCCAGAGGGGTTTGGAGATTTATCATGGGATGGTTAACTGGAGAACTTTCTGTTATAAAAAATACATAATTGTGGGAGTTACAAGCAATGTGAAGTCTTGGTTTAAAGTGAACACTTTTACCTCTTGGGTTGGCTTAAAAAGCTGTTTTAAGAGAACATTCAGAAAAGAGTTGTCTCTGAAATGGATTCATAACTTTATATTCAGTAATAAACAACAACAACAAAAAAGTCCTTTTCTCTAACATGAGGGGGCTTGATATTAAAATGAAAGAACTACTTGCCCAAGTTAATCTTCCTGCATTTTCATGAATTCTAATTCAAAAGAAATATTTATAAAGTGTTTGGACATGAATGGAAAGTTGTTATTTTAGTGATATATGACATTATTGTTATTATTCAAAAGTATAACTTGTATGTGTTGATGTGTGTCTAAGTGCTACCAGATCCGAACCACTATTTTACACTCACTCTGCACCGATGCTAAAGGTGTTGCAATGCAAAGGTTAAGGCAAAACAGACTCTGCAAGTGAAAATAAAATTTTTATAGAGAATTTACAAGTCCTACTTGCCTGATCTGAAGATTTAAAATAATATTTTCTTTGCCTGCCTTTATCTCTGAAATTCATTCTCTTGAAGTATATTAGCTAGTTACTGAAAAGCTCTTAGCTACTGAACTAGAAATTAGGAATAGTTGAATAGATAACCAGTTGCAAATAAGAACGGATACTGGTGTAGTGTTGAGATTCCCATGATAAATTGGCTAAAATGATTTAAAAGTGCTCACATTAAATTGAATATGCCAAACATCTTGCACTTATGAAGAAACAAAGAATCCAAGGGTTTATATACATAAGGGCTTATATACTTAAAATTAATGGTAGCAAATATTTAGCTGAGAATGTCAGGACTCCAAATTCCACATTTGGATTGGTTGTCGCTGGTTGTTGCAGGAGATGAAATGTGGTAAAGGGTGGGAAGTAGTATTTGTGTAACAGACTTTTCAGATGGAGGGCATTAAAATTGCAAGGTTTTCATTACAATGTATCCTAAACAAATACTGGTGACAAAACAAAAAGCTGCTTACAGCACATGAGGTTCTATTTTTGCACCAGGAAACAGAGTTAATCTGAGACAAGCTTTTTGTGAAATTCTTTAGAAAATAACTTAAAAGGAGAAACTGAACTCATCCCAAAAGAAGAGCTGGTCAAATTTTCTCAGCTGCCTAGGCTAAATTCATATGAGTGGTGGGAACACGAGAGTTGCTCTGTAGGAAGAGGAGGAAAGAGAGGAGAGGGAACGGTGAGGTGTTCAAGGAGAGTCTAAGAGATTGATTTGATCTGAAAGTTTTTAGGGTTAGAAGTCACTGTGGTTGAGTACTGCTTCTGACTTGAAGGAGTCAGTAAGGTCAGGAATCACTGACTCACTCGTCTACCTCCCTACTAAGCGTTATCCCTGTACGTCTTCCTTTCTCAGCATTCACTAGCACCCATTCCCACTTCCAGGACATCTCAAGACCCACAGAGCACATCATCCAGTCATTCATCTGCTTACACTGATGGAAAAAACAGGGCCCTTTGTCTTTTACTTATCCGTCTCTCCAACTTAATAAACAGCAGGCTGAGCTCACTGTTGCCATCAGGAGTAAAGGGACCTCTTCTTACAGGGATTAAGGGGCAGGATTACTGGGGCTAAACTGGGTTGCACAGCTACAGAAGAACCTTGGGGTGAAGAATTTACTCTTCTTGAGGCCACTGTGAAAGAAAAATTCCTAAGAAGCTGGGATCCTGACAGTGCATTCAGAAAAAGCCTCTGTCCCCCTCTACTTCCCCCCATTTTTCCCTTGGCAGCAACACCAGCAGAATAAAGGTCTGTGTTACTGGGGGAGAGGATTCTCTGTTTACCTGGTATTTGCTCTACCCACTGCCTCAAGCCAGCTTTGAATGCATGTATGACAAAATCAGCATTGCTGGAAACAGTTTAAATGTCAACATTTTCCTAATAATGATTCCTTGTAATTTTAGGCTCCAGAAATATTGGGAAAGTTGAGTCCTGAGGCAATTGCACAGATGCTTTACTAATAGTTGGTTTGGGGTCTTGGTTTTTGTTTTGTTTCTTTTTCTTCTTTTTTAAAAAGGAGCTTTTATGAGCCATGATTTTAATTTACTTTTCTTTCTTTGTGTATTTTACAAGTCTAAATGACAGTTCAGAGCTCCTGTAGTGTGACCACTTAACTTTACCCCATGCAGATGTGTTCTGGTTCATATTTCATAAATAATCGTGTTGATACAGTGGTGATAAGTGCGACATTTTCCTGAGATTCTAACTAAACATCTCATCCAGACTCCACTGACAGTAATATGAGTCATTCCACAGACTTCTTTTCTGCAAATAGTATCCTATAAATAAGCTGCATTTCAAAATTTAGGAAGGAGTAATAAAACTTAATAGTTTCTCATGTTTTGGTGTATCTATACTTATTGTTAATGAGTAATATGAAGATGATATCTGAAATGAGGATTAGTACATTTTTTTAATCAACAGAAGAATCTTTCTTATTAAAGCATGCTAATTCACTCGGGTAATTGTAAAAAATTTTTTATTCAAAAAGATATAACAAATGCCCATTCTGCATTGTTGTGTTTTTGGTTTTGTTTTTTTTTTTTTTTTAATAAAAAAAAACTGTTGTCAAACTTCACACAACTAATTTCAGTTTAACATTTCAGTAGTTCTCAGTGGAAAAAATAAAATGGTTAAAATATTCCAGTCAAGGAGAGTCAGCTGTGCAGTTGATGGTGCCTCTGTGAGAACTCCTAGTATGTGCTGCTGCTGGGCTGTCAGTGAGAGTCTGCAAAGGGGGCTAGTGAACGGAAGAGAGATGGTCTCTGTGCTGCAGAACAATGGCTTTTTAAAAATGCGGGCTGTTGTCACAAGGGAGTGACCAACAGTGCTTTTTACAAGGCTACTTGACTTTTGCATATCCGTTGCTGGATGCTATAATCTGAAATCACAGCATTGTTCAGCAGCCTAATCCTCTTTGTTCTCTTCTGATTTTGCAAGCCCTCAGGCTTTCTCTGATTCCTAAAGTAAAGTGCTCACACTTGAAACACATCTTTGTTTGCCTTGTTCTTTTTTCTTTTTTTTTTATATGAAACGCTTTTCTCTGGCTCAGTTGAATTTCGTGTCACAGCTATTTACATAAAAATAAGAGTAGACAAAGACAGAAAAAACCAAATGCAAAATAAAACTGTATTAAAAAGCTTTTTTCTGTGAAATACAACATTTTTTAGCACAGATCAATATGTTTTACAAATCAGCCAATGGAAATCAAGCTGGGAAAAGAGTCTACTACATTAAATGGACATGTAATAAAAGCTAGAACCCAGACTCAAGCTACAAAGGATGGAATAAATGACATTGCAAAATCTTCCTATCCAACAGTTTTATTGAGTTTATTCTAAAGACAAAACTATTTGCAACAGTTATGGAAAAGGTTTTATCAGAAATGTTTCGGTGAGATCTGTAGTGGCTGAAATGATCTATGTATTTTAGTTTAGAATTTGTAGAAAGTACAGCACATGGACATTCTTTAAAAGCCATTCATCATAACATTTCATTTTATCTAAAAGATGCCGTGATACTTAAAGTATTCTCTACTTGCAGAAAAGCTGTAGCTTCTTCATGTTTGTGTATCCATGTGAAACTGCACTGTATATACTTTGATCCCTTAGCAGTCCCTCTATCTATGAATCAAGTAATGAATTTGTCTCTGATCAAAATTGCCAACACAGTTAAAATAAGCTTCATAGGCTCAGTGCAAGACATATTTATTTACCAGTTTCTGAAGCCTTTACCTGTAACAGTAAAGTCTGATTCTACAAATTGTGATAATGCATAGAATATGGTAGTAACAATATGATTTCCTTCCCAGTGTTGTTTAGGTGCACTTATGACCTATGTAATTATATATACGTTCCATTTGTTCCTCTTCAGTCATGGCAAATGTGAATGCTAACCACTGAGAAGGTCACTAACGGTTTTCAAATATGGTATTTACAGACGTACTAGACGACAAGACATCCGAAATGGAGACCCGCTTACCCACTGCTCAGACCTGCAGCATCATGGTGAGTTATGGGTATCACTGAAGTACAACTAATTTGTATGTAATTTACAGACTGTGTGTGGGAAGAGTAGGAAGCACATGAATGTTTTGTTGGTAAAATTGTCTTGAACATCTGTGAAAGATTAATATAATACATCATTATCCCAATTTAGATTGCTCACAATGGCCTGGATCAGACACTGAAGACTTGTTTTTGTTTTTCCTCAAGTTTCAAGCATTTCAATTTTTCTGCTTCACTTACCTGACAATACTGTACCATCAGACTAGGCATATTATGTCAGAAAAGAGCCCTATCTCCTTCAGAACAGCTTCATGTAGTTCAAATAGGATGATAACCAAACACATCATTAACTACCTTGGCTAAATATGGAATGGTCTGTTGTAGATGCCACACTAGCAGCCCTTAATATCAGGATGTTCCCTTCAGTATTCCCATCCCATGTTTTTTTTTTTTTTTTTTTTTTTTTTTTTTTTTTGGAGGGGGGAGGTGGTTGGTTGTTTCATTTTCACAGTGTATTGATCAAATCTTCCTTTTTTGAATTGTTTGACTGATAAACATCTCACAGTTACTAATTTGTTGCCAAACTCTTCAGAAGATCTTCAGTCAGAAAATGAAAAATGCCCATTTTGCCAAAAGAGAAGAGAACACTTAGGCAATACTTCCCTCTGCTGGAAAAAATTATTACTCATGCTTGTGGTACATCTATAATAACAATTAAACCACTGGACAGAATTCTGGGATAAATAAAGAAGGGGTGGCTGAAAATGGAGATACCTCAAAACCCTCATGTCCTTTCAGTCCTTGTATATAGAAAGAATGATAAATAGTCCAAAGTTGTACTTTTGTCAGCTATAATTCATCACTACTACATTTCAGTAATACTTTATCTTCCTTTTTAATCATTTGAAAATCACAGCTAACATTACTATAACTTTTCTTTTTATTTATTAATTCAGACTCAGGCCAAGCTACTCAGAGGGGAAAATGGTTTGGAAAAGTGCATCAACATGCAATTGTCATGTTTTGAGAGGTCATGAATGCACAACTACTTCAGTTTTGAGCTACTCAGAGTGGACTAGTAGAAAGTTCACAGATGTCCAGTTGTATGATATCTAGTAATGTTTAAAAAGTGCAGATGAGAACATCCATATATTGGGGTTGAGATGACATTTCAGTTTCCCAGTAGGAAAATTTCACCAGGCACTAAACATGGATTTTATTACCAGCAGAAGCATGTCTTAGCTTTACCTTTTTACTATATTGACATTTTACTTATAGTAAAATGATGATCTGGGCTACCACAAGTCCATTTTTTTTACGTTGTCTTGTACTTGCCTGCTGTGCTTTATACAATTATAGGTCTGTTCTTTATCTCCATAGACAAGAAAAGGATTTCAAAACACTTTGTTTTTTCTATCTTTCCATATTTGGTAAACTGATTTGTACCAGAAGATATCTTCTGTCCAAAGAGAAGAGAGCAATGCAGAGCAGTTTTTTCATTACAACAGTCATAAGAACTCAAGGTCAGGAAGAAGCTATTACATAGTACACCTGATCACAAGGAGCTTTAATACACCTTTGTCAAAATGAGCAGAGCAAATATGAGACGAGATACCACTGTAAATTTTACTTACTAGTGAAATGAAGACAGCCTGATTAGAATAATCAGTAAGTTACAAAAAATACTGAGGGAATGCAGTTTTAGGTCCTAGACTTTAAGGAAACACTGTCAAATTACTTTAGCTTTCTTGAGTGAAATTTTCTCTGAATTAATTCTGACTTGTAAATGTATAAAATTATCCTATATTTACTTGTCATTTACACATTATCATGCATAGTAAAGGCAGCTGCATGGGCCTCAAACTTCCTATGCCATCTCATGCCAGGTTTTTCCTCAGTTATGACTTGTAGTTTCCTGGACAACAGATGAAGACTTGGGTTTGCCTACAGTCAAAAATAAGCTCCAGCAATCATTTACTACTTGTCTATACATTCCCTTGCACTAACTGCCAGTTGATTCTCCATGTGAACCAGCAGAAACAACAATTTCTTACTGTATACTTAATTTTAAAGACACTGCAGAAGCTTACTTTGATATCAGTCTGAAGCAATAATGCTTTTAGTAAGGTTTAGGCAGCTCTTTCAGTTGTCCTTTTGTGCAAATGTGTAACAAATAGCATAAAATAACTACACAACATTAGAGGGAGCTGCGGATCCTTAGCTGTACAGGCATTTGGCTGGGCATTAATGCTTAAATCTAAAAGCGTGGTCACCTTTGTGTCAGCTAAAGAACAATTTTTTTAAGCATAACATATTAATGCTATCAAGAAATCAATGAAGTTCTTTTTTTGAAGAACTTGTAAACAAAGAGGCACCAGTTTTTAGGTGATTTATCTGAGGAGAAGCTCAAAGAATCACTCTGAATTTAACTGTATAGTGAGATTCATTCATCTACAAAGCAATCTTGGTATAAGTACTTAGCCTTTCATACTTCTTCAGTTATGTCAGAAATTATGTATTTATCAGGGTAGTAAACTGATACTGCTGTTGGGTTCATTTTGGGAATTACAGCTCTCAGGCAGGATTTTGAGTTGAATTTCATAACCAACTTCATGACTTCTATAATTTTCTAATTCCTCCAGCTGCTCTTCTGAACTTCCCAGACTTTCATTCTTCCTCCTAGTCTCTTCAGTTTCTCCCTCAGTCCCAGAGCTGCATTCTGATCCTGTGGATTATTCCATCACTCTGCTTACTTTCTTGCGCTCCACATGTGCAATATTACACAAACTTTATAGACATTTCTGGACCTGCTTTCTGCTCCCTTAAATCATGGAAATGGAATTTGAAGGATCTCTTAAATCCTTCCTCTCTCATTGCATGACTGTCACCCATACTATATTGTCTGGAGCTGTGAGGAAATTTAAAGGGGGTGTCTGCTACTTTCTGTGTTGATCTCTAACATGCTAAAATGCCAAGGGCTGATCCAAGAAAACAGAAGTTTGAAAGGCCATCAGAGCACACGCCTTCAAGGTAACTTCCATGGAAACTTGTGACTAGGTTCTTAGTTACTAAAAATACTTAGAATCTAAAAAAGATCAGAGGGACATAACACCTCTCCTATAAGGACAGGCTGAGAGTGTTGGAGAAGAGACCCTGGAGAAGAGAAGGCTCTGTGGATAACTTAATGCTGTCTTTCAATACTTAAAGGGAGCTTATAAGAAAGATGGGGAGACACTTTTTATCAGGGCCTGCTGCAACAGGACAAGTGGTAATGGTTTTAAACTAAAAGAGAGTAGATTCAGACCACATATAAAGAAGAATTTTTTTACAATGAGGGTGGTGAAACCCTGGAACGGGTTGCCCAGAGAAGTAGTAGATGCCCCATCCCTGGAAACATTCAATGTCAGGTTGGACGGAGCTCTGAGCAGCCTTATCTAATTGAAGATGTTCCTGCTCACTGCAGGGGGGGTTGGACTAGGTGACCTTTAAAGGTCTCTTCAAACCCAAATTATTCTGTGATTCTAAGGATACCCTAGATACTGTTTTCCAGCAGATACTTCTCTCTATACTTAAAAATAAGCTATTGCTCATGGGCCTTAGGATCCTTGCCAAAGAAATATCTATTTTTGTCCTTTATACTGGTATTTAGGATCTAAAAGACTGTCTCCTTGGATCTGATGAGACCAGTGCTACATGTGCTTTGCTCCTGTATAATTCACTTGGACTATGTTGTGTTAGGGAAAATATAGTCAAGTGGTGCTACAAGCCACCTAATTGCTGGTTAAATCAGGTATTTAGGATGTGGGAGAAGAGGGCTCAAATTCCATTTAGACTTAGGAGACTGACTCGATAGCTCTACTTCCAATACAAATACCCAAACTTTCAGATTGCTCTTACTGAAGTTGGGCCATTTTGCAACCGTGATTGAAAGTTCATAGAGCCTGGAAGAAAGGAATTGAATGCATCCTAGAGCGAAATCCCTGTGTTTCCATTCTTTATTCTGGAAGCCTGTAAATCTGTTTCACAGAAACACATCACTAGAGCAGTGTCCCAGGCTATAAAAGGAGACATTTCCTTCTGACTGTCTTATGCTGCAGCCCTACATGTGCTATCTATTGTGGATCCCAGTTCAGACATCTAACTGCCCCTTGTTGACTAAGTGAGGATCTTTGACTGCCCGCTCAGCTGTCTGAATTCTGTTCCTAAATGAGAGCACTGAACTTGAAACAGAAGAGTCAGGACATCAAACAGCCATTCATAATGTTCAGTCCGGACCCATGAGTTATCAGCTAATCATTTTCATTTCTAATCTTCATCTTGAAACTTATAGTTCTATTCAGTTAATCTCTTCACATACTCCCAGTTCCTCTGTTTCACTGACACAAATTCAACCATGCTCCATCTCAGATCTTCCCACTGGTACCCCTGGTCACATTCTCTTCCAGCTGTTTTGCCCTTCTCTTGCTGCTTTGCTTTCTAATTAATTCCTCCATTGCTCCACATTTTCCTGGCCCTACGCTGCACTTCATAGGGATGTGGTTTCTGAGAGATGTCATAAAAGTTTCACTTGGTTGTTTATATAGCACCCCGCTTACTTGCTGGAAAGATTCACAATCCAGCAGAGGAAAGGAAGCTAACACATTCCCTATTTGTTTAGTGTTAATAGGCCATTTGATGTTTCCTTACTGAGAACTGGACAAGCACCAGTCCCTATTCTGTCCCCATCTCCCATCCTCTCTCAGGGCGGCAAGTCATCATGGAAAGACATATGATTGCTGTATCAACATAAACCAGGAGCTCAATTTTAGTTTTACCTTTGGCTCAGTCATCTAGCAAACAGCCAGTGTTTGCTAACCAACATGGCCAACATGGTAAAGGCACAGTGGAAGCAAACAAAACTCGACAAAGGATTTCTCTGAGAGCATTTTAATTAGACATCATTTTCCTGTTAAAACATATCAAAAGAAGTTCTTTAAAGATTTACAGTGCTAAAGATCAAAAGTGGAAAATGGTAAGAACGACAAATATGGCAAAGAGACAGGAAACCCCATGAGATCCACAGTGTTAAATAGCTTGCCAGCCCCTTCCTCCCCATCTACTCTCCAGGATTAGTGTACTGTTGCCACTTAAGTCTGTAGCAGCATTTTAAAGAGCTAAGGTGGAGAGTTGAAATATGATGCCTTACAGCCTCTGTGGTATTGGAGAAGAATCAAATGCTGTATAAGTCCTATAGCTATGTGATATTTCCAGCAAGTTGATGAATATCTTGAAACATTGTTGTTACAAAAGGAAGTAATTTATTTAACTTTCTTTTTCCCCTCCCATAATGACTGGTTTATTAACCTCATTACATTTCCATAAATTATATCAGTATGAGAGGAAATGATTAATTGAAGATTGTTTCCTCAAAAACATTATTCCTGGTCATTAACAGCTTCAGCAAACTGCAGTGCCATATAATCTAAATATATTATACTACTTTTAAATAGCCTCATGTTTTATTACTTTGCTCTAAAGTATTATGATCATAGAGCCCAGGAGGCATCATTACAGACATTCTGCAACTACATCCAGAGTTTTCTCACTGCATACAGTTTGCTATTAAAAATTCTTGTTGTGTCCTAGATATTTTCCTTGATAAATAATAATGAGGTTTACACAAAATTTCACAATAAAATTAATTAACTTCACATACTGTGATGTTAACAGCTGCTAGGACTCAAAATACAAAAATAAGTATAAAAAAGTCCTACCAGGGATGCTTACAAAGGTAGAGATAATGGAGATTTTCCGAATGGCATACTGATATAGGGAAATTTTCTTTTAAAGTTTTTATCTTTAAACACCTTAAGGGAGCCCAGTTTCTAAGCATATGAATTCACTTAGCAATTAAGATTCTTCTTTCCTGGTAATTTAATTGGGGTTTTTTCTTTTTTTTTTTTTCTTGCTTTACAGATAATCCAAGTGGTCAGACCCTGGAGGAAAAGATTATCTATGGAGTAGAGAATAGCAGCACTTTTCTTGAGTGCAGTCCAAAATCTCAGCGTGCTGCAGTCTACTGGCAATTCCAGAAGCAAAATGATGACCGCAAAGAAGAGGTAGAGTACAAAAAATAAAGAGATGCAACTAGTCTTCTCTATGAAGATATAGTTGAACCTAAGTCCTTCCCAGACTAATGTCCATCTCTATTTTAGTTTAGTAGAATTTCTCTGGAATCTTATAATTTCTGTTGTTCTTCACCACACTCTTATCACTATAAAATCCCATAAGTTCTCTAATAGATTTTACAGACTGTTACATCATAAACCATTCATATCCTCTCCCTAGTCAGACCCCCTGCAAAACACACTGGTTTTCTGTTAGATATCTCAGAAATACAAAAAGTTAGCATGCTATCTAGGTGCCACCGAAAGCATCATACAAGGTTTATATTGAACTTAAAAATTACAAAGACTTTAAAACTGCCACTGAAAAAAATTCTATCTGCATTCATGTAATTATACTGTTTGACTGAAACATAGTCTAACAGGAGCATGTCCGATGTACGACACGCTCTAAGACTTTACTGCAGATAAGACAGAGACGGAAAGAACTGAGAACTGTAGTGGACACAAGGGTATGCAAATCTGTACATGTTTTTCATCAAAAGCAGTATTCATAGAGGCAAAGACACCAGCTTTTCCTGCTTGTACTACACTAAGCTGATACTTTATTTTTTCTCCTTCTCTTGTCACCAGCATTCTTATGTTATTACTCACCCAGGTTCTCAAGTCATGTTACTATCAAGCTAGGTCATACATATCTTAAGAGGATACTCTGCTAGGGAGGGAGATCAAGCTAGGAAACAAAAACTTGTTTGTTGCATTGAAGTATTTGTAAATATACCCAATCTACCTTTAAGCATTTATTAAAAAAAAAAAAAAAAAAAAGGACTAAATAATTAGTTACATTATCAGCTTTAGATATTTTTGCTGTTTACTTTGTTTGCATAAGGCGTAAATTATTTAGAATTGATTCTTGGTGGAGAGAGCAGCAAACAGGTTTATGCCATTTCTGTCTGATCAACATGTGCATTCAAAGGATGAAACTGTATTCTAGATATTAATTAATTCAGAAAAATACAGTACTTTGGACAGCTGCTTTTTGAATATTAAAATTTTGAGATTTAATCCTTAGTGTTTCTTCATAAATTCTCCTCTTACACAGATCCCACTTCTATGTTTTTGTAGTAAGGAACAATAGGAAGACAGAGAACATTTCCCACAAATATATCTAAGCTTGACTAAAAAATAATGATAAATGTGATGTCAGTAATATAGCTAAATGCATCCATGTGTACTCTGATGGTTATAGCCTTCCATCTTCTATAATCTTACCAGCAAGTCCATCTGACAGTTGATACAGACCTTTGTATCAACAGTCAAGACTAAGGAGTAAATGCTTAATCCTCCAAACTCTTTTCAGTACACCAGTAGTTTTTCCAGAGTATTTGAGACTTCCATTACTACAGATGACTGGCAAAGTGTTTTCCATTCATGTGGTTTGGGGGATTTTTGGCCAAGTTTTACCATCTTAAAGCAGGACTAAGGAACTAATATGGATAGACGATAATGTTGCACATACATGGAAGATAACTACTGAAATTCACACTTTTTTCCAATACAGATAAAAGTGGATGATCGCATGATCCGAACAGAACAGGGCCTATTGCTACGAAGTCTTCAACGAAGAGACTCCGGTATTTATTTTTGTCATGCTGTGGAGCATGGCTTCATGCAAACTTTGCTTAAAGTGACCCTGGAAGTAATTGATACTGACCACCTGGAAGAGCTGCTCCATAAAGAAGAAGATGGTGATGCCTCCAAGACCAAGGATGCTACCAATAGCATGACCCCCAGTCAAAAGATCTGGTATAGAGACTTCATGCAGTTAATCAATCACCCCAATCTCAACACAATGGATGAGTTCTGTGAGCAAGTTTGGAAAAGAGACCGCAAACAACGCCGGCAAAGGCCTGCCAATGCGCAGGTGAATACAAATAAGTGGAAGCACCTACAAGAGAATAAAAAAGGTAGGAACAGGAGGACCCATGAATTTGAGAGGGCACCACGGAGTGTCTGAGCTACATTACCTCTAGGAACCTCATCCAAGTAGAAACTTGTATAGACAGATAACTGGAAAAAAATGCAATATTCATGAACTTTTTCATGGCATTATGTGGATGTTTACAAGAGTGGAAAGTTCAAACAATTTCCACCAGGTTTAAAAAAAATCCATTTCTAACTTTCGTAGTAAGTCCTTCCTCCCTGCTCTGATTCTAAGACCAGAAAGATCAGAGTTTCAAGGATGATAACTCACCCGGACCTAGCTTACTGCTCAAAAAGTTCTTCAAGTGTTCAGCAGGCAAGTTTTGCTTTCTCTTTTGCCTGAATATAAAAAAAAATTTAAAAATGCTGTATTTCATGCTGTCATCTTAAAAAAAAAAACCACACACAAAACCCAGCTTTCATCATCAGCACTACCATTTCTAGACTTATGTATAAAACTGCATGAACTCATTAAGCTGATGAACGTCTAAACACGTGATTGGACACAAGGATTTTGTTCTTGTTTTGTCTACCAGTTCTCCTGTTTATATATACTAGAAGAGGAAAAAAAACAATACTGAATGAGATTGTTTGTGGAAATATGAACAACATAAGCCATCCATCATCTAGAAGAACAAAAAATATGGAGTACACTGGCCTACTACTGATGACTTCTTTCAGCTTTGATCTAAAAAGATGTATTTTATTAAAACTATAATTTAAATGTACCATGAAAAATATGCAGCAAACATTAGCTCTTTTCTAAAATAGATTAGACTTTTTTTGTCTTAGAAATATTGTACTTTCTAATTATTGGTTTAGAGGAAAAAAAGACAACTTCCAATTATGAGCTGCTTTACTCTTCTGTTTGGAAAATCTTCCAGGGGAGCTAGTCACACTGCAGTTAACCTCCTCCCCTCTCAGTAATCTATATGACATGTAACTTCAAAACAATTTTAAAACTAAGCTATTTTAACATGAAAGTCGCTGTATAGCATGGAAGTCTTCTGCATTCTTTTTTTTCTAAGTATCATATTTGAAATGATTCAACTTGTATAATACCTTTGCTATAGATTGAACCAATGAAGAGGAGAGCATTGATTTTCAGTTGTATATTTTTTTTTTTAATTAAAAAAAAGTAAATAGCATTAAAATACCCTCTACTAATTACACTCCTGCTTTCTTGGTTCGTAAATATTTGTGAATGCTAATATTTAAATACTGTGGCTCATAGACTGTCATATATCCATGAGCAAAGCTCACATTCAGTTTAAGGAGTTTTGTTCCCAGCTCAGTGGTAGAAATATGTCCACACTACTGATTCTCAGTGCTCCATTCTTTCTGTGGGCCAGATCACCCAAATGCAAAGAACCAGCACTAGGCCACATAAAGAGTAACCTCAAAGCCAGCTCTCTGTTTTAAGATCTAAGGGACAGTTTTATCTGTGGGTGAAATCTGCTGCAGTAGTAAATTGGTGAAGTTCAGCTTAAGACTAGGTTATACGAACAGGTAATTTGGTCCTGCACTTCTGTCTTATTCTATATACAGGAGAGCAACAGGGTAAAACAGACAATGTACTTGCACCATAAGTGTAGGTTTAGGGTTATAAGTAGTGGATTTATTCACCTCAGCACAGATGTGCCTTTGGTCCCCAGTTCTATGGTGTCCAGTTCTTTTGAGATCATCTTTCTCCAGCCTCCCATGTTTTATCTTGGTAGAGTCCGTAAATGACAGAATTTCAAGTAATGTCATTGTGGGGAAAATTAATAGAACAAAGTTCTTAGTTTGCTAAAGGAGCTTTTATATAAAAGTGTGTCTGTATTGATGACTGATCTGTTTTGTTGTTATTCATTCCAGATTATTTAATTTATCAATCACTACATTATCAGCCTTACCAGATACAGTATAACACAACTGCTGTGACAGCTTCTCTCACAATACATCCCAGTCTCCTTGCCACTCAGTAATTCAAGTACTGTTATGATTAATAAAGCCTTGTATTCTTGCCTCCATAACACTTGGATTTTCACTAACAGCGCAGTCACTTTAAGTCCCCTTTGAATTTTTTGCAGGGCATGAACGTGCAAGATTTTTTGTCATTTAATTCTTTAGCAGAAAATTTGTTCAATAGACAAGAAAAAGGCTGTAATGATTTAGGAAAGCACTTAAGAATTTAGATTTAAAGTTACTTTAAGTCTCTCATGTTCAACTTGACTTCTATGAATTTTAATATGCTGTTAAATTCCCATGGTTTCATGATGTGCTGAATAGGGATGAATTAAAACATAGGTTCAATTATGTGCTTTCCTGTACAGAAGTATTAACTTTTCAGCTCAGTTTATGATGAATTTCTGAGCGCTGTTGTCAGCTGAATTATTTAATTGTAATTATAGAACACTATAGCCTTTTATATAGGGCTTTTGTGTACTATAGAGTCATCAGAATCCTCTTTGTTACATAAGGAAACAGTTTTAAAGTGAACCTCGGAAAACTCAGTGGGAAAAATACAGATTGATTTCAACAGGCGCTAAATGACTTTGTTTCCTTTTTTTACATATTAATGAAATTGCTATCTAACTTTTTTTCTCTACCATGCTCATAGCAACTGGTTCTATAGCAACTTGCTGTAAAAAGCCAAACCAAAATCAATATCTTTTTCACCACCCCTGAAGAAGAAACAGATTAAAATTAAGATAATCTGTGGGAACAAAATTACAGAAGTTGCGAAGTTTTTACCATAGCCTGGCAGTTTAATTGAACAATTTATATAATCAGGTCTTGCAAACTTCAATCCAGTCCTCACTGACATGAGTAGTCTTGCTTATGTTTTTGTATTTGCTTATATAAATAAGAGGGCAGAAGATCAAACCAGCAGTCAAAATTTTTGATTTTCAAGTTCATACTATGGTCAAGTTAAAAGAGCATTTACTACTGACGTGAAATGAATTTTTTTCAAACATAGGCTTTAATGAATTCATGTACAGAAAGATGCCCTGCAGCTTCAGTAAAATTCATATCCCTGTTTGTGTCATTGTTGTTTAAAGCAACATAAGGTTTGAAGATAAAGGTAAAAACTGTATTTCTGTAAATTGTCAATAAAACCCTCTAAACCTCTAGTTACAGAATTTAGAAAAAGTAAGTAAAAAGTTGTGTTTAAGTTGGAGAGAAATAAAGGATTTCATTTATAACCAGAAAGATCTACTTTGATTTGTTTGAAAATATCCATTTACAAGAAAAAAAATAAATGCATTGAATCTTATTCTTACTCATTTAGACTTTGCACTTGCATGGATCACTGAAGATGGGAAATTGTTCAATGGCTCCTAAAAACTGTGTGGTTATGTTAAACTATAACATCAAACTGAGAAAATGTGCATCTTTGCAGAACAGAGTTAAATCTTCATGACCCAATAAAGTCACTATGTAAAAAAAAATAAATTAAATTAAATGCATGTGAATGCGCATTTACTGATCCTTTTTATGTATTATTTAGTGAATATCAATGGTATGTGTTTAATAGTTCAGTTTTTGCTACCTACACATTAGCCAAAAGAGATGTAAATATTTTTGACTAGATACGAAGGTACAGTGTAAAGTACTGTTATCTAGAGGTACTCCATTTCGGTGTGTTCAGCATAATACTAAAATATAAGATTTTGCCACACAGGTGATTAAGTGGTTTATTTCCTATATCGGTGACAAAGTTATGCACTTATTCTTTAAGCGCATTCCTCACTGGGTAGTAAATAATTCTACTTCTGTATTTATCACTTCAATTCAGATGGGATCTAGAAAACTGGAGAGAAAAAAATGTAATGAAACTGCTGCTGTAAATTATTTCTTTTAGCATGTATTCAGTTGTTAAATAAACATTTCTTCCAAATATTTTGAAGTTTGCTGCCTTGACTGTTCGCATGGAAATGTGCCCTGTAACTTTCTTGACCATACAGAGTGCATTGTTCCCAATATAATGCTATCCGTGTGTATGAGCTCTTTACAAGGCCAGAAGGGTTGCTATTTTTGAAGACAACAAACCAAAAATGCCTGAAATGAAAAATATAAACCTATCTCCAGCCTATCTTTTGGCACACCCTCATGGGCTTGTGCAGATAAAGCTACACATATACACACCCCACTGACTCTGCCCATGAACCAAACTGTAAATCAGCCTGGAAGCCATGCAAATGCTAGGAAGTTGGTGTACTTGATAAAATCCACTCTGTGTCATGCTAATGGCTTAGTACAGCTATGCTACTTCCTTTTGGAATCTGGCTTGCACATACTGCAAGTAAAATAAATCAGGTTCTGTCTGTTATCGACATGCCCTTGTATCCTTTGGTAAATTTAGCAGCTGTTTGGAAGTGCCTAGGGGGTATATCTAAAAGTAATATGCCATGGCACTAAGCACTATGCAAAGAGCTAAGGAGACAAATGCTGCCCTGGAAAGCATGAGGATTAAATATACCAGACAAGAAGTGGAGAAAAGAAAGTACTATTATTTCTATTTGGCACAAACAGAACTAAAGAAACAACCAGTAGTACTTAATCATCACTAATCCATTCAGCTTTGCCGTGTTCCTTCCTGTAAAGCAAGGATAGAGATGTCCAGTTCAAAAGGACATTGTAAGGATATTTTATGGTTACTACTGCCTTCTGAAAATGAAAATCAGCCCTCAATGGCAGCTGGGCAACTCAGTGGGATACAAGAGAAGTCTGCAATTACTACAAGGACACAATGGATATGGCAAGCCGTGAATCCACTAACTGAAAGACCAGAATAATTTTTTTTTTTTGTCTGTCCAGTGCATGGATTATAAACACTAACAAAGGAAGACCCTTGTTTCTGGATGTAGCCACACTGTGTCCTTTGCTAGAACTCCCTGCAGAGCACAGCTAAACTGACTGTCCTCTGTTACTACTTTGCTACGTTGCCAGGAATGTACAATGTGTATGGAGAACCTTCATTGACACTGAGTGGGAAGAAAGAAGAAATATTCAGAGTTTAATGCTTACTTGTTCAAATATATATATATATATATATATGTATATGTATATATATATATATATACACACACACACAGATATTTAAACAGCCAGCTTTCACTGAGATGAAATCCCTTTTTCCCTGAAGTATTTGAGGCTCTACATGTAATTCTAGTGCATCTCTACGGAACACGTTTGGCGGCCTCAGCTATAAATTGATATAAATGTTTCCTTTGTGAAGACTGAGACACACTATTCTGTTTCCTTACAGGTCAGATTCACTGAGCTCCCCATCAAACATACATTTAATGGGAGGCAAAGTTACGATTACTTTTTCCAAAGCCTAAAACAAAAGGACTATTCTCCCCAGGATGCTCAGTAACAGGATACAAGTAGATCAGAGTATTAGTGAACCAGCCAGCTTCTTTGCTCCCCATAAATTCTTTCATGAAAGGTTGGAGAAGCTTCATAGAAAATCTAGAAACTGTGGGGAACAGGCCTTGTTTGGGACTTTTTTGTCCTGGAATTCATCAAAGGTTCACATTTTGGAGAACTTCAGGACGATCTGAGCTAAATCCCAAAACTCTAGTGAAGACATTTCCATACTAAAAAGTTTCACTTCAGTTAAGAAAGCAGCTTCCCTTTCTTTCATAGCAGCTTTTCACCCCTTTAGGAAATGGGGTTCTTCTCGCCTCAATCCAGAAAGATAATCATACAGTATCTACAGTTCTTGTTGAAGGCTAATATCTTCTTCATCACACATGGGGAATGCAGGTTCTGATGACCCTGAGCTGCTCTGTGTCCACACACTCCAATCAAACTAGCATACTGTCTACTCTTGCCACATCTGTTAGTATTAGACTTAAAAATGTTCTGTTCGCATCAACAGGGATAAAATCAGGCCTTGATGGGCAGTCAAAACCATGTCTTCATTGTAGTTGAACTATGAGGTATGACGCAAGATGTCTGCAGGGAGTCACAAGGGATGGCAGCTTGACGGGCTGGGGGCGGTGGGGGCTCCCAGGGTGGCAGGGCAGGACCTGGCAGCCAGGGCCCGTCCTCCCCACCCAGGAGCAGGGTCAAGGGGTGGGCACCTCCCTGGGGCTGGGGACTGAACATCAGCTCTCAGGTGAACCTGGCTTGTCAGGGCCCTGTGGTGGGACTGGAGGTGGCATCCTACAGCCTCA